ATAGAGATAGTAACGTGTGTATATTCTCAAAATAATTAAAATGCTTTCTTGTTCAGGTAGATCAATTTCATACAAATAAAACCAGGGAAAACAGATGGGAACAGTAATAGTACATAAACAACTCTTAGGAAATTCAATTTTCTTTAGTTGTAACCAAAAATGGCACTTGCTTTCTCCATATACAATTTAGAATTAGTCTCCTGCAACTAAAATCCTTCATTGTGTCTAATGCAGCCACCTCCCTCATCTTTCTTCATCAATGATTCATTCCTCCAATTATTTGTCATGTAAATAATAGTTACTAGATGCTTTATAGGAAAATTTGAAGTATTAGATGCTCTCTCCTTACTTCGGTTCTTGGATTTTGGTTATGGAAACTATACATATATTTAACCAGTATAAAGAACAATTGCAAAGTAATAGATGAATTGCTAAATAATCAGTTTATATTGATTTATGCTCTGTGTGTGTGTGTATGTGTGTGTCTGTGTGTGTCTGTGTGTGTGTGTATAGTCCTGGACCTATGATTTCATTTGTTTTGGCAAACTCCTTCTACAAATGCAGATCAGCAATTTATCTGTAACTTAAAAGTTTTAGTGAATTGCCTGATCATGTAAATGTTAATGGACTTGCCCATAAGTATCACAATCTAAAGTGTGTCAGAAGCAGGGCCGGAACAGATCTTCCTGACTGAGGACATCCCTTTTATGCATTCCATGCTACCTATCAACTTCTATAATGCTTGTCCTCTCACAGCCTTTCTCCTTTCCAGGGTCCCAGTTTCTTTTTTGCTTGACAACCATAGCCTAACAAGGTAGCCCCCAATTGTTGGCCAGTGGTCTTTAGAGGACCTGAGGTCACCGGGCCAACAGTCCCTTAACAAAAGGAAATGTTGTACCCTGAAGACAGAAAGTATGGGTGCATGTAGGGTATACATGCCAAATTCTGTTGCAGAGGTAGCTTGGTTCATGAAGGCTTTGTCAGCAGGGCCAAATCTCTAGCAGCTCCAGTAATGGATGGTCCAGTATGCCCATTGTCCTGGCTTCCTACCTTTCCAGTCTTCTTATATGTTACTTACCTCCACACATTCTATGATTCAGTGATGCTAACCTCCTTGCTGTTCCTCCCACGAGACAATCCCATTTCCCAACTCCAGGCATTTTTACTTGCTGTCCTCCCCAACTGAAATACTCTCCCTTCTTATCTCTATCTGCTGGCTTCCTTCAAGTTAAATTCCCACCTTCTATATGAAACCTTTTCCTGATCCCCGTTAATGCTAGTGCCTTCCCTCTGAGATTATCATCTCCAATGTGTCTGGCATGTATCTTGTTTGTTAATATCTTGTTTCCTACATTGGATTAAGCTCCTTGAGAGCTGTTTTCACCTTCCTTTCTATCCTTAGCACTTAGCACAGTGCCTGGTAAAAAGTACGTGCTTAATAAATGCTTATTGACTTGTTGATCAATCTAAATTCAGAGAGGTCCATTACTAAGTTGGCCACAGTTTGATGGATTTTTTGGCCACAGTAACTCTTGAAGACAACCTATTAAGTCCTAGTAGGGTTTTATTTTGTCTCAGTGGAGAAAGTACCCATATCAATGAAAACACAACGTTGAGGTATTGAAATGCACATATATGTGTATGTACATATGTGTGTATGTATATACATCTATGTACAGATAAAATAAACTCCTAATGCTTTAAACTGTCCTAGGACTTTTGGGACACCCTGTGTATGTGTATACACATACATACAAACACGAGTGCGTGTATGTATATGTATATGTCAATATCAAAAAATGAAATAGTCCCTATTCTCAAAGAACTTACTACAAAGATATGCAGGGAAGAAAGAATCAGAAAAGAGAGGCTAGTCTGAAAAGTTGTCTTAGAAAAAAAGTGAACAACTAATGACCATGGCAAGTCTTTCCCAAACCTGTCCCAGTCTTTCCCTGAGTCACTTATAGGTCAGGGGATGGAGTAGACAATGATAATAGCTTCATCTTTCATCAGGGCCTGGGAAAATAGATCTAGTTAAGGTTGTAAGATTTTTGAAGGAGTTGTGATATTAAATTATGTATGCATTATACTATGTAGGATCAAAAGATTTAGAAGCAAACGTTTCTTTAGAGATAATAATAGATGACATATAGCCATTAAAAGTTTGCAAATCACTTTATTCATTTGAACTTCACAATAACCCTGTGAGGTATATACTATATACATGACTATCCTCATTTTATGAGGTGGTCTTGGGGCTGGTGGCAGTAAAGATGCTCTAAACTTCAGCAAAAAGCTGCCTTCCTCACAAAGTAACCCAACCAGTAGCCTATACATTGCATCTGCAGCAACAGAACTCAGACTAATAGGATTAGCCCTCCTACTAGCAGTATAATAATAGATTTTACACTGTTTATATCAACTATATTACATCCCAATTCTTTTTGAATGATACATTTCTCATAAAGGTCAGAAGACCCCTAGAGCTCTGACATGAAGAGGGACATGATGGTGAAGAGTTCAAGGACATTCCTCATCAAGCCAGTTACTCTGACATTCTGAATGAGGGAGAAGAAGCATTAATGCAGAAGGACATTCATTTAGTTCAGACTATACACAGAAGAAAATGCAGTTAATCAGCTCCAACATCAGTTTGAGGAGCAAAATAGAAAAAAAACCCTGAATCAGATTACTCTTCTTAAACCAAGGAATGAATGCAACCAAACCAGGGCAATCTGAAAGATACAGACTCCAAAAAAGGTTTAAAAGACAGTTTCATTTGAATCTAGGTAGAAGAAAAATAAAGAAAAACCCCTATTCTAGATTATATTTTTTCCCATACGAGAAAGAGAAACCAGATTGGTTTTGATATAGTTGAGGCTGAATCACATGTTCTTATTAATTCTAATAAAGTCACAGTAGATCTACTGAGGCTCAAAACAATTGTGACTTGCCCAAGGTACACATTGTCAGAAATAGGATTTAAACCCAGGTGTTTTTGACTCCAAGTTCAATGCTCTACTGAAATCCAATGAGACATCATGGCATAGAGGATCCATGTCACCCAAGCTCACAACCTAGCTGTCATCCTCAATTCCTCACTCTCATCCCCCATATCCCATCAGTGGTCAAGCTCTGTCATTTCTACCTTCATAATATCTCTCAAATATTACCCCTTCCTTCCTTTGACCCTGCCGCCACCCTGGTACAAGCTCTCATCATTTCTTTCCTGGACTAGAACAATAGCCTGCCTCAGTTTTCTCCCCACTTCAGACCATCCTCCACTCAGCTTTCAAATGAATCTTCCCTAAGCACGGGTCTGACCATGTCACCCCTCTATTCTACAAACTGTGGTGGCTCCCTATATTTTCTCCAGGGGAAAATATGATATAAAATACTGTGCTTGGCATTCAAAGTCTTTTATAACCTGGCCTCCACCTACCTTTCTAGTCTTCTTAAACCTTACTTAAATCCAGTACACTACGATCTCATGACACTGCCCTCTTTGCTCTTCCTGGAATAGGACACTTTATCTCCTGACTCTTCATTTTCATTAACTGTCTTCCAAGCCCAGAATTTTCTCCCTCTCCATCCACTGTTTCCTGCCTTCACTGGCTTCTTTCAAGGTCCAATTAAAAGTCCTACCTTCTACAAGAAGCCTTTCCTGATTCCCCTTAATGCTAGTGCCTTCCCTCCATTGATTATCTCTAATTTATCCTGTATTTTTCTTGTTTGTGCATAGTTGTTTGCACATTGTCTTGCCTATTAAACTGTTAACTCCTTGAGAGCAGGGACTGTCTTTTACCTTTTTGAATCAATACTCTGAAATGATATTGATTAATAGTTATCTATCTTGGCCTTATTCTTCCATGATTTAGGTATTAGGATCATATTTGTCTTATAAAGAGTTTTGTTTGATAGAGTGCTTTCTTTCTCAATATTTGAGAATAATTTGTATAACATAAGTATTAATTGTTCTTTAAAATTTGATAGAATTCTCCTGTAAATCCTTCAAAAAAAGTTCTCCTCCCATCCTCCCACTTTGGTAGTTCCTTTACAGCTAATTCAGTTTCCTTTTCTGAGACTGTATTATTGAATATCTCCATTTGATATTCTATTAGTTTTAGTATTTTGTATTTTTGAAGTTATTACTCTCTTTTCTGTTCCCAGTTCCATTGACACAATAACTTAGAAAGTTGACCTCTCATGTGGCAAATGATTATGTGTGCCTTGTGTTTTAAGTATTATTTAAGTAGAAATCTTGTGATAGCACAGAGTCAGCAAGAATACAAATGATTTCACCTTTTTGTGCCTCAGGTTTCTTATGTGTAAGATGACAGGCTTGGACTAGATGCAGCTAAGCAGAAGTGTACCAGTAAATATTTAACAACCTGATCTGTGTGGGGTGAGGTGGACCCTGTACACAAGACATGATTAACAATCAGCTCTTGTGAGCCAGTTCGAAGAGGATGCAGCATATCCCTACATCTAATGGTCCCTTCTAGCTCTAAACCTATAATCCTATAATTAATAGTATAGATTAGGTACAGAATTTTGGTGCTAGAAAGTATGGAGAAGGACCTTAGAGTTTAATCTTCCTGTTTAGGTCAATTTAATTGTCACTTAATTTTGGGAAGGAAGGTGTGCAGCAATGAGCAGGGAAGCAAATAGAATAAATTAGCTGGTTTTCTCACACTCATAAATATATCTTTTGTGACATTTGCATAATGAAAGTTTATAACTAATAACTCTGTGCAAACTTCATGCTGATGAGGAGCTAAACTTCTGTATTCTCAATTGCATTGTAGTGTTAGCATTTTTAGCCAAAATGCAACTGAATAGAAAGACTCAAAGGCCAAAAGCCACTTGTTGTATACTCTCCCAGGCAATCCTAATGTAGTGTAGTCATATTAAGTTGGAGGAGAAATCAACCAGAATCAATGGTTTATTGATATGTAAAATATTATTCATTGCAACATTGCATTTAATTTTGCCATTTAGTTAGTACCAATAGCTGTACTATGAATAATTTGACAATTAGTTTTATTTCTACAGTGTACTACTATGGAACATTAGCCTTTCATATGAATTGAAGAAAAAGCATAAAAAGGATCTTTTCAAGGCCCCTAACATTTCTTGCTGAGCATTAAGGGGCATAAGGTGGTGGGGACTGTTCTGCAGGGAACTTCTCATAAGCTGGGGGAGCATCAGGTACCTGTGGGAATGAAAAAAGAGAATGTGTTGATCAGACCTATGAACTTCGATGCAATGAAATAAATATTCACAAATTCATCCATTTAGGTCATGTTCACATTTTTCTTAGTTTTTAAGGAATACAGAACTGAACTGGGAAGAGACCTGGGTTCTAATCCTGGCTCTTTCACTAATAATCTGTGTCATGGTAAGCAAGTTAATTAGCTTCTATGCACCTCATTAAAGGTGGTGCAATAGATAGGGTATTGGATATGGAGTCAGAAAGATCTGAGTTCAAATCCAGTTTCAGGTACTTACTTAGCTGTGTGACCCTGGGCAAGTCACTTAACACTTAACCTCTGTCTGCCTCAGTTTCCTCTACTATAAAAATGAGGATAAAAATAGCACCTACATCCCAGGGTTGTTGTGATGATAAGATGAACTAGTGTTTGTAAAGTACTTAGCAAACCTTAAAGTATATATATGTGTGTGTGTATATATATATATATATATATGTATGTGTACACACATATACATATACATGTATGTGTGTATGTATATGTATATATGTGTGTGTGTATACTATAGTACACATACTATGGTATATACTATAATATATATGTATGTGTGTATATATGCTAGTTAGTATTATTATCGTTATTTCCTCATCTGTAAAAATGGGGTTGTTGTACAAGATGACCAGTAAGACTGCTTCCACTTATAACATTCTGAGATTGGGAAAAAACTTTTTTGTTGTTGTTGAAAACCAAGGTCTCCATGATAATTACAGCCTGAGAGGAAAAGTTGAATGAATGATCAGATTTAGAGCTAGAAGGAATCTTAAAGGTCATTTGTTCTGATCTTGTTTCACAGATGAAGAAAGAGAGGTATAGAGAGATGTCTGGATACTTTCTCCTCTCTCGGTTTTCATGATCGAGTTCTCTCCAGGTTCTCCTTACGTCTCTTCAATTCCTCCTCATTCTACTTTGCTGATTCATTATCCGTGTCAGATATGTGTTTAAAAGGGGGTGTCCCTCAAAGCTCTGTCCTTAGTCACCTTTTCTACTCTATCTTACTCAGTGACCTTATCATTCAGGCAGTCTGGCAGTCAGTCAGACAACAAGCATTTATTAAGTGCTTACAGTGTTCTAGGAAGGGATCCAAAGAAAGGTAACACTGTCCTTCCCCATAAGGAGCTCACATTCTAACGTGGGGAGAGAACATGCAAACAACTATGTACATATAAAATATATACGGTATAAATGAAAGGTAACCTCAGAATGGGGAGGACCAGGAAAGGCCTCTTGCTGAATGGTGACTTGATCTAGGTCTCAAAGGAAGCCAAGGAAGTCAAGAGGCAGAGGTGAGGAAGAAGAACATTCCAAGCATGGGGGACAGCCCGTGAAGAGGCAGAGTTGGGAGATAGAATATCATGTATAAGCAACAGCAAAAAGTCCAGTGTCATTGGACCATAGCATGTATGGAGGGGAGCAAAGTATGAGAAGACTGGGAAGGTTGGAAGAGATCAGGATATGGAAGGCTTTAAAAGTCAAAGAAGATTCTATATTTGATCCTGGAAGTAATAGGGAGCCACTGGAATTTATTGGAGAAGAAGGAGAGACATGGTTTGACCTGGGCTTTAGGAAGATCACTTTTTAAAAAAAAAAATGTATTTAGTATTTTATTTTTCCCCAGTTACATATAAAAACAATTTTTAATATTCATTTTTAAAACTTTGAGTTCCAAATTCTTTCCCTTCTTCCCTCCCTCCCCCCTGCATTGAGAAGCATTTTGATATAGGTTATGCATGTGTAGTCATGCAAAACATTTCCAATAAGTCATGTTGTGAAAGAAAACATATACCAAAAAACAAACAAAAAAACCCCTCAAGAACAATAAAGACAGTTTTTCAAAAGTATGCTTCAATCTGTATTCAGACGCCATCAGTTCTTTCTCTGGGGATGGATAGCAGTTTTCAGCATAAGTCCTTCAGAATTGTCTTGGATCACTGTATTACTGAGAATAGCTAAGTCGTTCATAGCTGATCATCTTACAATGTTGCTGTTACTTTGTACGCAGTACACAATTTCACTTTGCATCAGCTCATGCAACTTTATCCATGCTTTTCTGATACCATCCCACTCATTTCCCATAGCACAATAGATTCCATCACAATCACGTACCACAGCTTGTTCAGCCTCTCCCGAATTGATGAGCATCCCCTCAATTTCTATTTCTTTGCCACAAGAAAAGAGCTGCTATAAATATTTTTGTACTTATAGGTCCTCTTCCTTTTTTTGCTCTTTAAGGAAGATCACTTTGGCAGCTGAGTGTAATATGGACTGTAACAGAGATATTCTTGAGGCAGGGAGACCAGCCAGTGGGATATTGCAATAGTAATGGCATGATGTGATGAGGGTATATACCAGAGTAGTGACTGTGTGAGTAAAGAGAAGGAGACATGTACAAGAGATATTGTGAAATTACAAGACTTGCTCCATTTTAGATATGTGGAATAAACACAAATGAGGAGTTGAGAATGACATTGAAGGTCGATAGAATCGTGGTGCTTTTGAGAATAATAGGGAACTTGGGAAAGGGAAAGGGTTAAAGGAGAAAAATAACGAATGCAGTTTTGGACATGTTGAGTTTGAGATGTCTATGGGAAACCCATTTCAAGATGTCGAATAATCAGTTGTTAATATGAGATTGGAAGCCAGGAGAAAGCTTAGGGCTAGATAATTTGATCTGAGACTCTTGTTGTCATTCAATCATTTTAGTCTTGCCTGACTCTTTTGTGACCCCATTTGGGGAGTGGCAAAGATACTGGAGTGATCTGTCACTTCCTTCTCCGGCTCATTTTATAGATGAGGAAACTGAGGCAAACAGGGTTAAGTGACTTACCCAGGGTCACATAGCTTGTAAGTATCTAAGGCCAGATTTGAATTCAGGAAGATGAGTCTTCTTAACTGCAGGACTGGCACTCTGTCCACTGTACCACCTAACTGCCCCTATCATCTGCTTAGAGATGATAATTGAACCAATGGAAGCTGATGAGATTACCAAGTGAGATACGGTAGTGGGACAAGAGAAGAGGGTCCAGAACAGACCCTTGAAGGACACTGATGGCTAATGAGTATGATCTGGAGGTAGATGCAGCAAAAGAGGCTGTAAAGGGGGTAGTCAGACAAATGGGAGGAAAACTGAAAAGCAGTGTCATAAAAACCTAGAGGAGAGAACATTCATGAGAAGAGGGTAAATGACAATATCAAAGATTTTAGAAAATTCAAGAAGGATTGAGAAAAGGCCATTGGCTTTGTTAATTAAGTTTATAGCAACTCTTTTTGTGGTAGCAAAGAATTCGGAATGGAGAGGATTCCCCCATTTGGGGAATGGCTGAACAAGGTGTGGCATATGATTGTTGTGGAATACTATTGTGCTATAAGAGATGATGAGTGGGATAGTTTCAGAAAAAGAAAGACTGGGAACATTTATATGCACTCATGCAAAGTGAAGTGAGCAGAACCAAAAGAACACTGTACACATTAACAGCAATATTGTACGATGCTCAACTGTGAAAGATTTTGCTATTCTGATCAGGATAATGATCCAAGACAGCTCCAAAGGACCCATGATAAAACATGCTCTCCACTTCCAGTGAGAGTACTGATGAACTCTGAGTGCAAATTGAAGCATACTTTTTTTTAACTATTTTTCTTGTGTGTTTTGTGAGTGTTTTCTTATGCAACATGGCTAATATAGAAATATGTTTTGCATGGGAAAAAAAGATTTGCCAATTAAAAGATCATTAGTAACTTTGGAGAGAGCAATTTCAGATGTATTATGTGGTTGGAAGCCAGATTGCAAATGTTTTAGAAGTGAGTTGGGGAGGACATGGAGATACTGATTTTTCAAGGAAAGTTCCTTTGGTCAAGAAAAGGAGAAGAGATATAGGTTATATATATGCAGTCATGCAAAACATATTTCCATATTAGTCATGTTGTAAAAGAAAACACAAACCCCTCCCAAAAAAGCACAAGAAAAATAGGGTAAAAAAATATGCTTTGATCTATATTTATACTCCATCAGTTCTTTCTCTGCAGGTGGATAGGATTTTTCATTATGAGTCCTTTGGAATTGTCTTAGATCATTGTATTGCTGAATATATCTAAGTCATTCACATTTGATCATCATACAATATTGCTGTTACTATATACAATGTCCTCCTGTTCTGCTCAATTCACTTTGCATCAGTTCATGTAAGTCTTTCTAGGTTTTCATGAACTTGCTTTTTTAAAAAAATGTTAATAAGTGTATTTCAATGTAATTGGTTTCCTTTATAATCCTGTGTATTTTATTTTATGTGTTTAAAATCATACCTCCTCTAGGATAAAATAAAAAAGCCCTCTGTTTGGCATGTAAAACTCATTATAACCTTGTCCCTTCCTACCTTTCTAGCCTTCTTACACCTTATTCTCCTCCATGAATTCTATAATCCAGACACACAAGTCTATTTGTATTTCTTCAAACGCAACACCTCTTCTTCTGTCTCAGTGCCTTTGTATTGACTAATCTCTATGGCTGGAATGGTCAGTCCCCTTACACTCCCCCTCCCTCAGTTTCTTTGGCTTCCTTCAAGACTCAATTCAAATCCCACCTTCTATAGGAATCCTTTCCTGGACTTCCAGCTATCAATGCCTTCATCTTTCAGATTTTTTTCATTTACTCTCTATTTTGTATGTACCTTGTTATTTTCATGTTGTTTCCTCCACTAGTATATATGCTTGTACCTTACATCTACTTCTATTATCTTGTATGTATCTAATTGTTTACATGTTGTCTCCCCCATTAGAACATACTTATATACTAGCTAGGTGGCACAGTAGATAGAGCACCAGGTCTGGAGTCAGAAGGAACTGAGTTCAAATCCAGCCTCAGATACTTGCTAGTTGTATGACCCTATGCACCTGTTTGCCTCAGTTCCATATTTATAAAATGATTTGGAGAAGGAAATGGCAAACCACTCCAGTATCTTTGCCAAGGAAACCCCCAAAAGGAGTCACAAAGAGTCAAACATGACTGAAAACAGTAAACAACAACCACAGTAACATACTCCTTGAAGACAGGGACTGTTTTTTGCCTTTCTTTGTATCCCCAGTACCTAGTATCGTGCCTAACACATAATAAGCCCTTAATAAATGCTTACTGACTGAATGACTTACAGTAAATGACTTGCTAAAACTGGAATCTAGGTCCTCCATCTCCAGACTCAATTTTCTTTTCTCTATACCACTTTACTCCACCACACAACCCTTCCAAGAAATTGAATTTCAAAAGTACACATACATTGCATATGTGAGAGAGGGATGTTTATGACTTTTTCCATAGAATTATTTATCACTTAGCTTACTTAAGATTACAAATTACCTTTATAATAGAACTATAGAATTGTAATAATGAATTATTTTCCCCCTTTTAGAGACACTAACTCAAGTTTAATCTTCATCACGATGTGTGCACTAGTGACATACTTAACATTGAAATTGGGCTACATTCATGTCTGAAGGAAAACCAAGGCAATTTAGTCATTGCCAAGCCATCACACTGTGGCTTCTATGGCAGCTGTATCTCATGACCATAATACTCATTAAAGAAGACTCTATCCTGAGCTAGAGATGTAATACTTGATGAATTAGCATTTTCTTCATTGTATATTAACTCACCATGACTTTTGCATAGGTGACTCTAATGTTTGACAAAGTATTTTAAAATCTTTAATTTATCCCCTACATAAAATAAATTTCACAATTAATAACAGGATTTTACCTGACTTAATGTAGCTTAAGTTGCATAGAATAATCATTCCGCAAAATTTTTTTAATTATATACTAAGAGTATACTAGGTAAGTGTTGTCTAGCAGCTGAATTTGAACACAACTGATCAATTTCGATGTGTTCCTGTTCTCACGTCTGTAAGTTTATATTATCTTCCATCTTTATCGTATATATCTTATCTATACACAGTTGTTTACTTGTTGTCTTTCCCCTCCCCATCCTGCTAGAATGTAAGCTCTCTGAGGACTTTGACTGTTTTTGCCCCTTTGTTTCCATAGGGCTTACCACAGTGTTGGTATTCAATAAACATCGAATAAATGCTTATTAACTGATTGATTTAATGAGAAATAGGGGAGAGAATGTTTGCTTCAAGATCCTTATGGTATTCCTTTACTTAATTAGCTTTAAGGACATCAGCTCTGATATATTTTGTTTAGAAATACCATGCTTCAAAAAAAAAAAAGGGAAGAATGGGAAAAATATACATGTGAAAACATAACTGGTAAAAACTTACTACTCAAAATATGCAAAGAATTGCCACAATTCTTTAAAGATGGTACTAAGATCACAGATGAATAAGCAGCCCACATAAACAAATACAAACAAATAACACATAAAAAAATTCAGGCTGACATCATTGGATTGTAGAGTATATGGAAGGGAGTAAGATGTAAGAAGTCTGGAAAAGTAGGAAGGAGCCAGGTTGAAAAGAGCTTTAAATGTCAGAGTTCCTTCTATTTGATCCTGGGGGAGGCCAGGAAGCCCCTGGAGCAATTTGAGAAAGAGTGCCATGATCAATCCAATGATCAACCCAATGATCAACTCAATGATCAACCCAATGCTTTAGAACAAGTGTTCCTAATCCTTTTCTGTGTCACAGCCCCCTTCTCAGAATAATGTTTTAAAATGCATAAAATTAAATATACTGGATGATAAAGAAAACCAGTTACAATGGAATCCAGGTCCAATTATTTCCCTGCATCTAAAGTATGGGACTTTGTCATTATTGATGCTAGAAAATCTATGTGAGCAGGACAAAACTGGCGACTGTACTGGTTCTTTGTTGTGAGTGTTTTCACTTATTTAATTTGAACATAGCTACACAGGAAGAAAACAAGTAAACAAACATGATTCTGGGGGGTTAACATACCACAGAGTTATAGTTGCTGTTTTCCGGAAAGGGCCCTTTGCTGACAGGGAGGGCACCCTTATCCCTGTAGTAATTCCCCATCAGGGCTTTTCCAGTGCCAGCACAAAAGTTTTTGTCCTGAAATGTAAATTCATTGGGGGTTAGTGGGAGAAGCAAGAAGAAAATGGAGAGCAATTTCAAGTAATGAAAAAGATGTGCCACATCCCTACCCCTAGGCCCTAGACCCAATGGTAACATCTTTACCAGAGAAACCATATGGCATAGCTGACCAGACTTTGAATGGAGGCTCTTCGCCCATTTCTCTCCTCAAATGACCTTGTAATTTAATCCCTTTGTGGCAAACTTCTTTGTGCCTAAAATGAGTACGATATTAATAAACCACTAGCTGAAGTTTGATATAAATTACATGAATGTTTTGAATAATGGTGGTCCACAATTATAAAAAAAAAAATACCTCAGTGGATTTCTGTTTTTGTCCACATAGGTATTCTCTCCAACGGTACAGGTCACGTCCTATTCCATTCCTCCTCACCTCCATGGGGTCCAAGCAACATATTTGGTTTGTTGTTGTCTACTCATTTCAGTCACATCTGACTCTCTGTGACCCCATTTGGGGTTTTCTTGGCAAAGATACTAAAGCGGTTTTCCATTTCCTTCTCCAGATTTTACAGATGAGGAAACTGAGGCAAACAGGGTTAAGTGACTTGCCCAGGGTCACACAGCTAGTAAGTATCTGTGGGCACATTTGAACTCAAGTCTTCCTGACTCCAGGCCCACCACTCTTTCCACTGCACCATCTAGCTGCCCTACATACCTGAACCTTCTGCTAGTTCTTAACATTAGACAGATACCAATATTACATGTAGACTCCATATATAATCCCTTTTCTTTAATGGTCATACATCTCTTTGATGTCTGATGTCTTTGACAGCATTTTTTTGTGCATAATTCATTGTTGATAATATACTTCAGGTGACTTGTGCCTATCACATATCTTCATTGTCCTTCGGATGACTCTTTTTATTTTCTCCAGAGATTATGGTATTCTAAGCTCTATAGAATCACCAGAAGAACTATTATTTAAAAGACAAGTTTTTGTTTCTAAGAGAAACTTGACGGCATTGAAAGTAGGGCCAATTTTCCCAAATTAAATCCAGCTTATTTTCCTTCTCTAATTCAGTCCTCGGCCTAGTTTAATGTTCACCTTTAGTATCTGCCTGTAGTATATGTACTAGTAAACCAGCTGTGTTGTTTGTCATCCATCATTGTTAGACCATTGGGGATCTCTGTCCACTTGATTTTGTAAATTGTTAAAATAAACTGCTAAGCAATTGCAAATCTCATTTAGAAGGCTCAGTAATGTTCTGGGGTTTGATGCATTCAGCGTGTCCTCTACAAATAGGAACATCTGGAGGACCTCAACATCTATAAGGATTCCATCTTCCATTCAGACCACGGGCTCAGTATCCCCCCCATGACAGTGACTTGGTTAATACAATCTCTCTGTTTTATGTTTGTCTGATACCAGTCACCAGATATCATTGAACAAAGTTGCCTCTGTTGTGTTGTATCAGAGAAACTTAGATAATCTTAACATATGCACAGCAGACATCTTGTTGGAAGAAGTCTATAAGGTTACATTTTGCTCAACCAAGTGAAATAAATGCTTTTTAAATAGTCAACAAACAATAAAAACAAATGGGATCTTATATTTTCTGCATAAGGAAGAATTTGTGGCAGAAAAGACATTGGATGCTCTAGAAATTTGTCTGCCAAAGCCTGCTTATCCCTTTCTCATATTTTCATCCAAGATGCTTTTTGTATGTATATGGATTGTTATCATAAAGATTTTATAGAGATAAGAAAATTTGTGAGCTATCCTCCCATTTAGCTGCAATTTTCTTATACCGTCTGATTTCATTTATTGTAATAAGAATGTCAATACAACACCCCCAGAACTATCTAGCTTTATGTTTTCCTTTGTTTCATGCGTTGCCCACGATCAAAAAATTCATCGTCTTGTGGCCAGCCCCCTGGGGATGAACCCCTGCACTAAGCTAGGTTGGCTCCCAGGCACTAGGCAATCTATTACTGGTGCCATACTTTCCAGCATGATGTGGAATTTGCAAGAGCTAATGCCCTGCTGGCACAAGTTCAAGCCCCTAGGATCATCACCTTCATGTCCCAGTGAGTTGTTTTTCTGGGCTGACAAGGTTGTTCAATGAATCTTATATTTGACATTGACACAGAAGATACCTTTAATTTTAACATAGACATGGGAGGTACCTTTTTTGAGGAAAGTCTTTTTTGCTTTACCAAAGAGAATGCTTTTTTATAGACAATACATAATAATCACAGTGGGATCTCACATTCACTATATTTTTCAGTCAATTATGGTTACTATGGAATACCATTTGTGAACATCTGCTTGTTCCCTACTAACACTCTCATTGAGAATGTTTTAAATGCATGTGTAATTGATTCTCATAAAATTTTTCTGTAGATAAGAAAGTAGTGCTTAGGGCTATGCTTGGTATATAGTAAGTACTTAATAAATGCTTATTGATCAATTGATAGGATAAGTAGTTACTAATGTTCTGTTGTTTGCTTTTGTTTTGTTTTAATAAGGTGAAAGGTTAAGGTGCAGAGGCACCTGGGTGGCACAAGACCACCAGGCCTGGAGTCAAGAAAACTCATCTTCCTAAGTTCAAATCTGGCCTTGGACATTTACTAACTGTGTGAACCTGAGCAAGTCACTTAACCTTGTTTGCCTCAGTTTCTTCATCTGTAAAATGAATTGGAGAAGGAAATGGCAAACCATTGCAGTATCTTTGCCGAGAAAACCCCAAATGGGGTCACACAGAGTTGGATACAACTGAACAACAACAAAGCAAAACGACCTCTGTTTTCTGCCTGATCAGTTTCTACTTCCTGGTTTTCCTGTTTCCTTCAAGACTCAACCCAAATCCCACTTTTTGCAAGAAGCCTTTCCCCCTCTGAAAGAGTCTGAAAGGACTCTGCCCCAAGTTCCTAGACTGGAAAAGATCGAGCATCCTTCAGTCACTTGCAAGTCGTCTCCATCTCCCCAGCCTTTCTATCACATAGCCTCTGCAGCCTCACTGTAATCTTTCCATCCAGTGATTTTTTCCAATAGGTTCTTCAGCAATTCAGAGGAAATGGTAAAGAGAAGAGAATGACTGCCTAGCGTGAAATGAGATTGTTGATGTTAGAGTCATACACTGCCCCACCCCCACCCCCAACACACATGTATATCAATCCCAAAATTTTTGAAATTTCTGCTTTGTTTAGTGACCCAGAAAGCATTTAATCACATGACATGTAAAAATAAGAAAATCTTGACTTGATTCTCTTTTTTATTTTTTACACTCTGTGCAGATGTCTTCAGCTGTTTAACAGCTACTACATGGGATGTGGGACAGGGTTATAGAAAAAGACATTTTAATTTGCTTTCCAATTCTTCAGAAAATCCTTCTGTTAAGGTACCAGGTGAAAATTTTCCGACTTACCCAGTATGGTGAAAAGGGAGCGTGTGAGCAGTACTAACCTTCAGGGTTTTGTAGCCACTGCGTCTCTTGCAATACCAGCAGCTAAGGAGCAGCAAAATCCCCAGGATCACGGCCAAGATGCCAATTCCTGCAGCCCTGTTCCAGAAGACAGATCAATCCATCTTGCCACATGTGGATATTAGTCTAACTTACTACGAAGAAAGGCAAGCATCTATTCACAAGGGCTTTCTCTCCACACGTCCCCAAGCAGTTTTCCATCCTCCCCTTTCACTCCATATTCCACAGCAGAGTTCATTCTCACATTCTCAGCCCTTCCTCAACTGCACTTTTCAGAACCCTACACTTCTGCAGAGGTCAGGGATGTTTTCTAGAAGTCTATCAAGTGTGTGTCTTAGATTAGCAATGCAAATTAGTATGTGCAAAGAGAAGACAGATTCCAGTCTTAGTAATACTACCACTATAACTACTGATGATGATTATGAAAATAATAAAGAGGCAGCTAGGTGACACAGGAGATAGTGTGCTAGACCTGGAATCAGGAAGACTTGAGTTCAAATTCAGCCTTGACATTTACTACTATTACTACTACTACTACTATTACTACTACTACTACTACTACCACTACCACCACCACCATCACCACCACCACCACTACCACCACTACTACTATTACTACATGATAATGACAACTAGCATTTATCATTTATACTTTAAGGTTTGCAAACAGCTTTACATAGGTTGCTTCATTTGATCCTCACAACAACCCTGAGGGGTCCTGTTGTTATACCCATTTCACAGCTGACAAAACTGAGTCTGAGGCATGTTAATTTGTCCAAAATTCAGGTCTTCCTAACTCCAAGCTTCCCCTACCCTATCCCCCATCCACTGTGCCACCCAGCTGCCTCCTAGTCAATCCTCCTGTCAGCATCGGCTCTCACTCTTCACCCCAGTCCCTGCATCAACCCCATGTCTGCACATTGTGAGGCTATACCAGAGAAAAGCTACAAGCTGCACCATAACTTCTGCTAGCAAGAACGTACATCATGTTCACCTTCATGCCTGTGCTACTGATTCAGAAGCAAAGACATCAAAAGCAGAGCAGACATTTGGAGGAAAGGGGCAGAAATATTGCACAGGAGGATTGACTAGGAAGCAGTTGGTGGCTCAGTGGATGGGGGATAGGGTAGGGAAAGCTTGGAGTTAGTAAACTATAAATTATAAACTACCAAAGAAAAAAGAATGAATATGTACCAGAGGATGTTTTGTTTAAGTGGGGCTTTTTTAGAGAAAAGAATTTTGGTTATAGGACAATATTTATTAGAGAATCATTGTATCAAAATAAACATTAATTAAATAAATCAACAAATAAACTGAATTAGATATGGGATCACTGGGAAACAGGACTGAAGGTTTTCCTGAAAGGTATCTTTAGGAACCCTATTTTCCCTGAATATACAATTCTCTGGGATAGGAACATTGGCATCATCAACATTCTATGGCAGGGAACAGAGAAAATGGAAATCAAGGTCTTCATGGGCCATGTAGAAACATACTATAACATCTAAGGATGTGAAGAGACAACTCTGGAAATTCTGAAGAAAGTGAGTTAATGCCTACCATGTATATTTCATTATTTGCCCATTTTATTTACCCCCTTTACACCATAAAGAGAATGATTTTTAGTCAACTTTCAAAGATGCACTGTTAGGAAATACAAAATCTCTAGTAAAAATACCCCTATTCTTTTTCTCTAGACAAGGTAAGTGAGAATTTTGTCATTCTGTAAGTTCTTCTGAGCTAGGTAGTTGGTAAAAATATGCTGATCCTGATATTTGGGAAATACCAGTAGTATTTTGAATTACTTTTTCAAATTGACCTCTTCTTCCACTGCCCTGGAGAAGAATTAATCATTCTACTTGCACCAATATTTGCCTCCTCAGATCTTGGAATTTAGTTTCAAGTAACTATATGCTGGTTTACTTTTGCATAGGTTGAAAAATATAGACATGCCCCATATTTCAGCAATCAACAGAACTGTCGAAATGAATGTGAGGTGTCAGTCTGTCACTCTATATTTCTGGTTCATAAAGACAACTCCTTCCTGGTGGGTGTCCAAAACACCATGTCACTGAGGATGCCACAGCCTATCTAACATAACTCCTTTCAATAATGACATAACAGAAGCAATCTATGAAAATTTATAGCAGACCTGCCACCTTTTTACCAACCTCAACGAATGAATGAACAAATCTTTTCCTTTATAGTCACAACTTCTATAGTGAGGGCTCCCTATCCATTTGAGTCACAAGTGCTGTGACTGGGAATAGCCCCCAGTTCCCTTGCCCTTTGCCCCTTCTGGAAATTTCTAAGAAATAATTTATGTAACCTAGCCCAGCTGTCCTAGAGGAAATGGGAGGAAAACAAAAAAAAAAAATGGTAAAAGACTGACAATGACTCTCGGAATCCTAAAAGACCCAATGATAGGTTCTGATATAATCAGGAGGTTGTGGTATATGTCAAGTCAACTAGCACTTATTAAGCATTCATTCAAAGTTATTATTAAGCCTCATTCAAATTCAATTCACTTGCAAGTCAAGACATCACCTTCCTGATGACATTCTCTTTGAGAATGAAGGACAAACAACAAAGCATTTACTATATGCCAAGCATGGGCCGCTAGGTGGCACCATAGTGCATAGAGTGCCAGGTGTTAAGTAAGGAAGATTCATCTTTCTAACTTCAAATCTGGTCTCAGACACTTACTAGCTGTGTGACCCTGGGCAAGTCTCTTAACCTCTGTCTTCCACAATCTGGCTCCAATGTGCACTCTCCAGTTTAAATTCCATACTACTCCCCGTCACACATTCTATTTTCTACACAAATTAGATTATTTTTCTATCCCCTGTTCTTCCATCATAAATTTCCTCAACTGTAAAATGGGAGTAATAATAGCTCTTACGTCTCTTGAGGATCAGATGAGATCTTATTTCTAAAGCACTTAACACAGTGCCTGGCACATGGTCAGTGCTTAATAAATGTTTTCCTTTCTTCCTCTACTTACATACTCTAGATTGTTGTTGCTATTGTGGAGTGCCTTTTTTTAACCACAGGGCCATTTTTATTTAAGTCAGAATGTTTTGGGGGAGGGGGACAAGGGTAGATGGCTCTAGACCTCAGGTTCCTCTGCTATAAAATGAAGGCCTTAGATTAAATGACCACTATGGCTCCTTCCAATTCAACGTTCTGTGATCTTTGACTGTCCTGAAATACTGGCGTTTGATTTTCTGCTTAATATAATAATAATGATAATATAATATGTTGACAAAGAAGTATCAAGCAAATGGTAAAGTCCTACAAATTTGTTTAGAGGAACGGAAGAGTTTATGATGGCAATTCAGGGTTCGGGTCACCATTATCCTAAATTTTAAGAGGCTATCTTTACAGAATAAAATGAGCAGAACCAAGAGAATGTTGTATACAGAAAGAGCAAAACTGTTCGAAGAGTAACTGTGAATGACCAAGCTATTCTGAGTAATATGAACATTCAGATCAACTATGAAGGACTTACAAAGGAAAATGCTATCCACCTCCAGAGAAAGAACTGATTTATGGAAGCATGTATGGTATGGTCCCCCCCCCCACCCCACCCCGCCACACACACGCATGTGCGTGAAACGTTAACCTTCTCTAATGCAGGGTTGGGAGGTAGGGAGGGAGCCAATTAGGAACTCAAAATGTAACAAAAAAGAAAAATAAGATTAAATAAATAAAATGCTTATTGATTTTTTTTTATTTTAAAAGACGATTATCTTTAACGAACCCTAGCCGTCGTGATCGAGGATAAAGTCAAAACTGTGCAGCACATCACAACAATCTGTCAAAATTTAGCACCACCTGAATATATAGCATGGTACAACACGGTGGTATTGGAGACTTGGAAAGAGAAGAGAAAATGGGAAACAACCACCATGAGGACTGCAACGACGAAACCAAGAAGGGAAGAATAGAAGGAGCATCCTGTTGATGTGAGGCAAATTTGTAGTGAGTCCATTTTAGCCGGTGGTGTGACTTCTTTCTCCTTCAGAGGACCAGAGAAAGCGCATGGCGGGTAAAACCTAGGGTTGGGATTTGTCAGCAGCTTCGTACACAGTTGCTGGCATGCTGTCTCCACCATTAGACTGGGAGCTCCTTGAAGGCACGGACCGTCTTTTGCCTTTCGTTGCATCCCCAGCACTTAGCACAGTGCCTGGCACCTAACAGGTGCTCAATAAACATTTGTTGACTGACTGACTGATGAGTTCCCCACACCTGGAGTGCTTACTGAGTAACTGCTTGGCAGAGGAGGAGGGAGAGTTGTATTCATCGATGGTGATTAAAAACAAGAGATAAAATATTTTTAAATTAAAGGGGTTGGATCAGTTGCTCTATACCAGCCTTTATGGACTTCTCTCTAAATTCTGCTATAAATAACATAGTTATTCCTTCTTCCAGCTTCCAAGAGAGCAAAACACTAAACACTGAATTCTCCCTCAGGGAAAGTATAAGACTGAAGAAGGACAATTTATTCACGCTGACATACAAGGCATTGTTAAATGGGCCCTTGAGAAACTACCAAGTGGTTTTCACCAAATGAATTCAGCATTCTATCAGATCTGTAACTAGAGTGGGATGGCTGAGGCCTTCTCCTGAGGACCAGCATCCCAGAGAGTATCCTTCTCCACATAGTCCTCTGGCCTGCCAGCTCGGAGCGGCCTGTGGGACCACTTCCAGTGTTCTGCCACAATACTGTGCCTTTCTTCTTCCTTATTTTTCCAGGCTTATTCTACAATATTCATTTTTACACTCTCTTTGGTCCATCCAAATTGGCTTTTTCTTCTTCACTCGTAACATTCCATCTCGGGCCTTCATGCTTTTATATAGGCTGTCCTTCATGTCTGGAATCTACTTTTTCCTCACCTCCACTTCTTAGAATCCTTAGCTCTCTTCAAAGTTCATTAGATCTAAGTTGTCAGTGTTCTCTCCCTCCTCAAATTACCTTGAATTTATTTTTCTGTGTATATGTTATATCCCTCCCCATTCTCCCCACTTCCCACCCCCCATCAAATAGACTTCAGTGATCTCAGGGATTGTTTTTC